GTTTGTGTTTTTTGTGCACCGAAAGTGTAAGCCAAGAGCACTTTTGAATCCAAATTCCGTGTTCTTCGTTCCGGTGTCGGAGACTTTTTGCTTCTAAAGAAAAACGGCCATCTTTTCTGTACCCTCGCAACTGTTGTCCTAAGCTTGTAGTTATTCAAATCCTTGATGTAATTTAGATGATAAAATTTTAAAATGATTAATATATTAATATCCCAAATTTTTTTATATTTTTTTAAATTCATCCTAACTAGAAATAAATAATTTATGAATGATTGCATGCATTCCGAATTCAAAATAACTGTGTGGTAAGAATAATTCTCACTTAAAAACAAAATTTAGAACCCCTCTAACATTTTTTTTTTATTTTTTTCTTGATGAATCATTCATTATTAATGAGTAAGGAACCCACTTGCACACAATGTGTCTTGCTTGAATACCTTTTATGCGACATTTCTAAAAGAGAATCAAAAATAAAATATATTAGAGAGAATCTCACTCCAAGCGAAAAAAAGGGAGGGAGGGAATTTGGGTGGCCGGTAAAATGTAGGTAATTATTGGGTTAATATGTATAAATAATGACTTGAGTGTAAACGGACAACATCAATACAAAAGATAGCTTTGTCAATCTATTAATACATAAATAATGTCCCAACAAGGCCTCATATATTAAATATCCTCTCATGCAGATCTCTCTGTGATGTAAATTTCTATCTCAAAATCTTTTTCATTTTTAGATGTTAAAAATTTGGACTCTCTTCTCTCACAAAGACATATATATGTACCACATTTATGTCAATTACACATATATAGACACAATTAGACAAAGACGACGAATTGGTGATATACTTTTGCGATTCTAACAACAACAGTAAAAAATGTGGTTGTATCATTGTAGTTGGGACGAAAATGAAAAGAAAATAGAGAAATTTAAGAAAGAGAGAGGAGATAGAGATTATGAACCAAGAGAAAAAGAGGGGGATAAAAGAGAAAGGAGATATGAGATAGGGGAGAGAGAAAGGGGGACGGAAAAAAAAATAGGGAAGAGAGAAAAAAGAGATATGGCAATTGAGAGACTAGATATACTAAAACGACTCATACATATGCTAATTAAGATAAGATGTATTCTTATCATTAAAAATTTTACAAGTCACAATTTGGAACCACACACCTTCTAAATTGTACATATATAGCCTTAAAATCTTAAAAAATACATGTTTGCACTTATTACAAAAATAATTATTAGACTATGCTTGTTTTCAGTTTTCACAAAAAAATTACTTTGGGGCCCACGCAAGTTGATAACCATCAATTAGCGTGATTATGTTGAACTAGTATTTGTCCTTAATGAACATTTGATTATTGTTAAAGCAATTTGCAGTACAATTAGTTTAAGTGTCACATGATGTAGGGAGGGAGGGGGTGTGAGGACTTTAGAGCTCATGACTAGAAAAAAGAAATAAAAAATCCAACTTTGATTATGAAACTCGACTCTGGCTCATTTTGGCTAATCCAAGACATTTGCATCACGATTATATCAATAATGTTATATTCATTAAAATTTTTATTAAAATTTGAATCGTGAACCGTATGATCAATAGATCTCAAAAATTTTCATTAATTATTCAATAATTAATAATGTGTCATATCATTTGGTACGATTGTTCACTCAAGCTAATGGATAGGAATTTTTGGTTTCTATATTCCAAGTCTATGAATTGCAGAAGTCAATTTTTTTGGCTAACCCTACTCAAATTTTTTTTTTTAGGGGAGAGTGACCCTATCCGATTGAGGGAAATGCTTCGAACTGAGTTTTGTCCAAAAAATTGGGTCGGTAGGTCAGGTAGGAATGCAAAATGTCTCACAAATTTTTAAACTTTAAGTCTTTAATTTTTGGATTATTTTAACAACTCAATTACTAAAATTTTTGGGTACTTTTACAACTAGATTGTTAAAATATAATATAAAGGTATGTAAACTAACATAATAAACTAATAAAATTAAAGAAAACACAATAAATTTGATTAATATGTTCCCTAGTAGTCTAAAACACCATAAATAAAATATAATTACAAGTCATATGCTTTCAAAATGATGTTATTTTATGATAAACAAAACGACATCATTTTATAACACATTATTTTTAAAAAATTAAATATAAATGCGGGTTAGGTAAGAATGTAGAATTTTTATGGGTATTTCGCATTACTATCCGATATTTGCGATATACTAAAAAAACTTTTAATTAATCGACTGAAAAAATACCGAAGCCAAATTATTGGATATGATAAGGTTGGAATATTACGAAACGAGGCGGGTGGACGGAATATTGAACGCCCTATCATTTGAGATCTAATATTTAATAAAAAAACATTGTTTCAACTTTATATATTCCCTATAATGGTGGGGCTTTTGATAAAATAAACTTTAGATATGCGTTGTCTTTCAAAAGAAATTGACTCATCCAGATGGACCATTATGAGATAAATCATCCACTATTGATGTTGCCCTTCAATTGGATCAAATCATACATGTGGGCCACTGTATCAGTGAATTTCTAAGTTGCCTATTGACGTTAGAGAAAAGATATATGGGAACCACATTGCTATAATAATGTCTGGAGCATCAACACTATAGATGAGTTGAATAAGAAGATGCTTTAACAAAGGGTAAAGGACTCGTATATCCAAAAAACTAATTGAAGGACTGACTCTCATTATTACACGTGTTATGATATTAAATGAGCCCACGTGAAAATGACAAAATAAGACATGTGATGAGGACATCAGCTACTCCGTCAAATATACCTAGCCAAATTGATCAAAGTGTTCGGCAAAGCGATAAAAGAGCTCGGCTCTTACCCAACCGTGTTGATCAATTTGTTCGGCAAACATTGAACGAATTCGGTTCTTATTATGACCGAGCTGTTTGCAACATTAATCAGAAAAGATAAAGATTCGTCTATAACTTAGGCATTCAGATAAGTGAATCAACGAAATTATAGATTTGTCAAGAGAAGTTGTTGGAGAAATATCGGCAACATCCCAAATTGAAGAAAGGTGTGCCACCTTGAATCAAAAATCACGAAAATTCCAATGAGATAATGATTTATAAAAGGCAAAAGAAACCAAGATGAAAAGTACACTGAACTCTTCTGGTCTTCTAGTAATCGTCTTTGTTCCACTTCTGACTTTAGCATTGAAGTGTTTTCAATCGAAACACTTCGATCTTGGATAGTTTGTTCGTTTTGTAAGAGGAGAAGACTGAGAGATCAAGTTCAAAAATATTTCTCACTAAAAACATCAAATCAAATTCCTTGTAGAAGGTATCATTAGATTTTTGCCTCTTACAATAATAATATTGGTATCGTATTGAAAACTATTATTATTGTATGTTAAATTATACCTTACAAAGGACATTACAGATATTCGTAATTGACAACAACATCTCATGATCAATTACGGACAATTGCAATCAGTTGAAACTTTAATTTTAAACAATTATATATTTTATCATCAACCATAACATTTTTTTTTAACTTAAACACTCAATAGGTTGCAACT